AAACTTGGAAAGCAATAGAATGCGATAACTAACATAAGCAAACTGGCATAAAAAGCACATAGCCTGTTGTCTGGTAGTTAGTTCATCGTGCTCTTGTGTCAGGAATCAGGAGTTTGCATGAGAATAAAAAATAATTTTCATACAAATGGCTTCACATTTTCAAACTGAGGCTTGGGTAACTCGGGAATGGCCTATAGATTTAATTACCAGCTGTGGTTTGGGAAATGAGCTCACGCTTCCCTTTCCCTCAGGGGAACAAGAGCGGGTCCGAAGGAGCAGTGGTAGCCTGCGAAAACATCCGTTTCTCCTCGCTCTTCGCCGCTGGGGACGTTTCGTGAGGAGGAACGTCTGCGACTCCCCGCGAAACGTCCCCAGCGGCGAAGAGCGAGGAGAAACGGATGTTTTCGCAGGCTAGAGCAGTGGAAATAGAGTCTAGAAACCTGAAAAAACACTCAATACTTGATTTTGGAATATTACACTGTACATGGAAATTTGAAAGACGACTTTAACGGCTCTACATGATCTATTTTAGCCTTCAACGGCCTCTAGAGCTGAGCAAGAAGCAACAGGGCTCTTTGATAGTTCAGATGATGTCTACAAGGTGAATGTGATTGTTTTATCAGTCATACTGACTGCTGCTGTGTTATGTGGAGTGGTTTATGAGCTCTGTAGAAGAAGAATGAACAGAGGTAACTTATCAACAGTTAATGTTTGTGCTTTTAACAGTGAAAAAAATTCATTGGCATGATGTATTTGTCATAGAAATTACCTCATTTTGTTGTAATACACACTTATACTGGTAATTTGACAAGTATATGGGTAGTCATGTTACTTGACAACTGAGTCAACAAAGAGTTACCTCCAGAGAGAAAATCAAAGTGCTACAAAAAGCTTATAAAACCAACTGAGAGTTAACCCTGGTGGAGAGAACTGGGGAACAACATGAGGTGAAGAAAATTGTTTGACCTTGGTGGGATTCGAACAAACCATGACTTTGGTGGATTATATCTACTGTTGCTTTACCGACTAAGTTACGAACCCTGATGGTGGCAAGTAGTGTGTAATTAAGGTCAGAATTGGTTAAAGTCAAAATTGAATAAAAGTGCCAAATTTCATTTTTTAAAGTGCTGAGAAAAAAAAAATGGTGTCACGTGAAAGTACTACCAAGGAGGTTTCTTTTGAATGGTAACACCACAGGATTTCATCTATACAGTCAAAAGTTAATCCTTCCTTAGTGTACTTTATCATTTACTCTGGCGAAAAAAGTTTTTATCTGCCATCTAGCTTGGCAGGTGCAAATTCAGGAAAAATTGCAGTTGCAAACTGTTTAAGTGAGTGTCAAATGTTTGTGTTAATATGTACAGATTACTTGAATAAACTGCTAACTGATATTTCTTTTTGCAATTGAGAAGTAGAGGATAAAGAAATTCGTTTAATGCTGACCAGAAAGGAGGAGCTGATCCAAGAGATGAGAGTTTTACTGGCAGAATTCTACAGTAATATGAACAGACAGTACATAAAACTGAGTGCAAGACATGGACAAGAGCGGAAAGTAGTGCTGGATACGATGATGACGGAGATAAAATCATTACCACCTCAGGAGAGGAGAAAAAGAGCTAATTTGCATGAGGAAGAACAGAAATCTTGGGAATGCAAGGATAATAAACTGTATTTAGACGATACCAGTTCAAGAACATTGAATGACAGAAATGGGAATTATTGAAACTAATAACTGACATCAAATGAGCAGTGTTCAAGAATATTTTTCTCACTGTGGGAGTTTGAAAATATGGTAAAAATACTACCGTTGTATGGATGTTTCCTTGGGAATGTATAATACCCAAAAATTATGCAATCTGGATACTTAGCTCACTCCCTTTGTTGTATATATTTAGGAGATTTAACATCACATTTAAATTGAAAAGCAGGAGCTGGTCATGGAAATGGGGGATTTAAGCATACAATTCTGTTGAAATATATGGCTTACCAATGCTTTGTTATTTTTTGATTAATTTTTCTCATAGGTGTGGCCATTGAACAAATTCAGGCTCTTTGATTAGTCAACAAGACTTTTAAAACTTGAATATCATATGTTTACTAGTTTGCCCATTCATGTTTTAAAATAATAATTTTACGAAAGCATGAACAATGTGTGCATATAGAACACCTTTCTGATTTATTTCTAATGGTTCTTTTTAATCAAGCCTTAAACCACTTGGCATTTTAGACTTGATAAAACATGAACTGCTTGAATGTATATAAAAAGCACATTAAAAGTAGCGAGTAATAAATTCCATGCAGTGTTGGGTCACATTTAGGACTGTTGATTTTTTGTGGTTAGTTGATCCTGGCACAGCCTGTAGAGGCCCCATTAGAGGAGCTGTGCAGAGTTTATCCCTTTCATTCTTAGGCTTTTTCCTTTTATACATAAACTCTTTTCTTTTATACATAGAGAATGGCAGCCCTTATGTAGCAGTCAAGAGGCCCACCTTAGATAGAGAACTATAAGGAAGGACCTGCCTGTGGGCAGAATACACACACCAGTAAACTCTAATTATTATTAATCACTAATATGATAGACTCCCTATCTAAAATGGACACAGGGTGCCATATACTGGTATTTAAGATTTCAAAAGTGTCTGTCTTTACAAGAGTTGACCAAACAAATACCTACCTACCTATCTCAACTGAAAAATTCAAGAGTGGACTTTGCTCTTTCCATCTCATGAAGAAATGAGTAAAACTGTGGCAGGGTTAATTCCATGAACACGTCTTCTTGGACACCACCTCGATCAACAACCATTTTTAGCTGCAAAAATGTCTGTCCCACGACTTTCAAGTCACTACTTCCTGCTGTTACACCAAATTTCCATTCCATATCAACAAGTTGATTGACCATGAATGTCTGACCAACAACCGATCTTGAGAGGGCGATAAGGTTTGATTTCCATCTTTCAGAGACATGGGGAGAGTTATCAGCAGAAAGACCTTTCAAAGACAAAAACGCAAAAACGTTGGGGTGGTTAGTGTGCTCTTTCACTGCAGCAAGGTTCTGCTCACACGTTCAACTTCTGGAGCCAGAACATGGATTGAAAAAATTTAATCAACGTAGGTCCTACCTGCCTTTATATCTACTTTATTTTCCTGGAAAAGCTTTCCTGTAATGCCAAAAGTTCATGGCAAATAGTTGGAATAGGCTATTTCCAAATTGACCCAAGCCTCGGTTTCAAAGTGAGGCTAAGTGCGAAACTATTGATTTGAAAATGACTTTCATTCACACCCAAATAAAACTCATTTTCACAAGAAATGTTTGGCACTTAGCGTCTCAGCCACCTTTCAGTGGCTCTACCAGGGGAACAAGATATGAGATAAGGGGGGGAGGGGGAAGGAAGATTGTTTAGTCCTTACCAAGATGTTCCACGTCCTCTTTCACTTGTGCGGGGGTCAAGTTGCATTTCAGCGCACTCTTGAAGAAGCTGAGTAAACTTTTGACAACATTTTTAAGTGGGTTGGAGCTTATTCCATGTTCGGACGCAAACTCCGCAACCTGAGACATGAATCTAGTCCCTTCCTTTGGCGAAACGAGAAACGAAAATACAATGTCCAGGAGTTGACAAAATGCCTTTTCTTCGAACTTGTTGAGTGACTTGATATCTGCATACATTTGCTCTTCTGGTGGAACTTTTGTGAAATAAAAAGTGCTCATTTTGAATAAAAAACGTAACTTATATGTTCTACCTTCTTTTGACTTGCTGTTTTTTTTCGCGGAGATATCGCCTGCGATTGGACAGCGTTACTGCATCTAAAGCAGCTTTGGCTTGGTTACTTTGCTGGAGACCTGGTCACTAAGCCATGATTCACATGTGAGAAAAGAAGAAAATATCATGGTTCTTTTAGACAACGATGGGGTGAGAATTTTCTCATGTTCAGCCTTTCTCTTAATGATTTCATGTAACAGATCTCTGGTTAATCTCATTTTGCATTTAACTTTTTTAATTTCTCTATTTTGTATTCTTGGAATGTAAACGTATTTGAGGAAGAAGTCGTTAGTCTGTTTCCTTTCCTTCGATTCACGCGCATCAGTGACTTCTTTCTTTGTGTTTAGTTTCTCAACCAACTTACACATCTTCTTCAAAGAACAAGGACCTCAGGATCAGTAAATATCACAATGAAAAGATGTAAGTTTGTTACTTATGTAATTTAAATTGCACTTCTCAGCTGTTTTCGAGTCTAGCTGAAATCCTATACGTGATCAGCTGCAGTCAAAAGGAATATTTGTTCAAGGCACAGTTTACAGAAACAAGCTGTTTACGTGCCGTTCACGAATTGTTCCAATTTTTGGATTCGGTACAACGATTAAGTTGAAATCTATTGAGGTCGGACCAACTGGATTGTGGTCGGAAAATCGACAAATATGAATACCACATGAGGGAGAGAATGAAATCCTGATACGTTAGTGTACAGTGTATAATGTAATCTGTATGATGTCTGTAGCTACTTGCATTCCAGACTCGGTAAGTCTATCCCTTTCGTGTCTGAATGAAGGAGATTTGACTGTTGTTGAGAATGTTCTTACTGCTTATAATCACGCTGTTAATGATGGTCCATCAGTTGAGCCTGGAGATATCACCTTTTTCTAGTCATGATATTTTTTTTACTAAAATCATTGATTTTGTTTGAAACAGATCATGGTCAAACCAAGCCAAAACCCAAACCACGAGGTACAAAAAAACTACAAAAATTGACAGCTGTTGAACATGAAGGAGAAAGTAAATGTCTTTTCAGAGCAACTAATGGCAAAAAGAAACTTAGTACAGTGGTAAGAGGAAAAATCTTTGATTTACTGCTGAATTTGTGATCTCTTGGAAGAAACAGATGATGAGATTAGACGAACAGATTAGATGATTGTGTGTGAAACCCTGTCACTGTGACCACCTTTAAAGCCATGAAACTGTGGTTGTAGATTATCAAGGAAAAGACTGAGATTTAGATTTGGACAGAATAGTTGGTCAAAATGATACGGTAGTGTTATTATTGAGGTGGACATACATGAAAGACCTTGTTCCACTGGAGTATCAGAGAGCCAACGTAAGATCAATGTCCGATGGGACAATCAATCAGGGACTTTAATGACCTTGAAAAACTTTGCTGGCTTTTATTATTTTAGTCTGTTCCTAGGCTTGATTACCGGCTGCTGTTCAGGGAAATGAGCCCTCACTCACTGCCCCCCCCCCCCCACGCCCTCCCCTGAAAAATCTATTCGGGGAGGATCAAAGACCAGACCTGAAAGACAGCAGAAATTGAGCCCAGTATGGCCACAGTTCTGATGATTATCTCATTGGATGGTGATGTTCAATTTACTGTTGGCCTAGTCTCCTCATTATCAATTCAAAGGGGATGTAAAAGGACCTATGCTGTTTGAGAAAAGGTGTAACAGACTTCCTTGAGTGGTCTATCTTTTCTGGGGAGAGGGGACTGTTACAGGCTTGCAGTAAGTTCCACCCTGTTGTGGTCATTACCCTGCTATGAATTGGCAAGAGCTTTAAAGTTACTGTACTCCACGAGTGTGTGGGTGCGTGCACATTTGCACATCGTAACCCTATACTTGAATATTGTTCCTTGTACACTGCTCTTTCCACTCTTGATAACTCCTTGTTTTACAATTCACAGGTCAATGCTAAAGATGTAAATAGGTTTCAACTGGTAAGTCCTACCTGTTTAACTCTTCACTTCTTATAGTGACCAAAAATTCCCCCCAAAAAGCAAGTTTCGTTTTGCTAAATCCTATTGTTAATACAATGATGCAAAAGTTCTTCCAAAGAGGCTTCTTTCGAATGGTAACACCATATAGGATTTCACCCACAGAGTTAATAGTTAGAATTTGACACATAATCTTTTGCCTTAACATGGTCTGGGAGTCAAAGGGTGTAAGTCTATTGAATAGGTCTTGGAGGACACAAACAAAGAAAATGAATAAACATGAATAATCATGGTTTATTCATTAAATTTTTCTTTTTTTGTGTCCTTTAAGACTCATTATCATGCTGAATGTTAATATACTGAAAGTTGCCTATTGCTTGGAACAATGTTTTGCTCTTGGAATCCTTTGTTAATGCTATTTTATCTTATTCCTTTGCAGGCATATGCAAATGTACTTAAGGCAAATATGGATAATCTAAAGAAAAGGGACAAGAAAACAGAAAAGAGTAAAGCTAAAAAGTCTAAGGCAACCCAGTAAATAGTTTTATTTTCTCAATTATTTTATATCAGAACTGTGTTTGGGTAGTGCCTGTTTTCCAAAGCAGGTGAACATTACATGAGGCATAGCGGCGAGCGGAGATATTAACTTCGTATTCCAAAAATTGTACATCAAATCATAATTTAAGTGTATGAATAAAATCTAGGAAAATGAGTTAAAAAGTATCTGGAACTTTTTACTTGCAATAGCTTTAATTTATTTAAAATACATCTTTAAACAAAGCTCTAAGTCATTTGAATAAAATACACATCTTATGAAGTGAAATACTTTAAGTGAAGTCACACAGAGAGTAATCATAAATTCTTAATTGCTAGATTGCAGGCCTTAAAAAACTTCTCAAGGTACTTTGTCTTGCTCCTAGGATAACATTTTATTCTCTCTAATTTACTGAACTGGCTTAAAGCATACATGTACATATTGTAGCAATTTTGCAGCATTCAGCTAAGCAAACTTTGCAACACCAAACAATGAAGTTGAAGGAATGCTTGTAAAACAGTCTTCAGCTTATTTGAAGAAACTCTCAAGTGAGAGTTACTATGACATTTCTATGATCACTTTATTCCACTTTACACTCAGCGTAACTGATAAATTTCTACGAATGTGTACACAGTTGTCAAGGCTACTGCTTATGGTCCACTTTCAACTGACTTTACTTCAGATGGAAGTGGAGAGCACTTCCTTCCATTCCGTCCTTCCACAAATGTGATGTAGTTAATGTATCTGACAAAGAAAACAGAGAGAAAGGTACATGTGTATGAGCCATTTTTTTCAAGCAAGGTAGCTTGTTGATTACGCTAGCATAATTTTTTTTCTTTGATCCACGTTGTTGACTTGTATTTTTTTTCTTTGATCCAGCCCTTGATCAGACCAAATTTCTCCTTGTAATATCAACTGGACATGATCACACAAGATGTATTTTCTTGAAATTTTTGACTTCTCCCCACTTCTTCTGTAGGAAATGAAGCCCAAATGAGTCAAATTTTGATCTTAGAGTTTGGTTAAAGCCAAGGTTGAAAACCTCAGTCCTGAAAATTCTAAACTAAAAGTTTTGTCAAAAATTCTAAACTTCAGGTTTATAAAATCCTAAGAAATAAATACTACTAAGTAAAAGTAATGCCGAAGAGGTTTTATGTAAAAGGCAACACCATAGGATTTCATCCACAGACTCAAAAGTTAGTACCATGGTAAGTGATGCTTTAGAGGTTTCATTTGAATAGTTAAACCATTGCTCATTTCAATGTTGGAAGAATTCATTTTAAGTACATATTGTTCTATCCTTACTTGTCAAGGTAGTTGATTGTCAGTGCATTGGGATGCTTTTTAGTGAGTTTGATCCACTCACTGCTTAAGCTGTGCCTCCAGGAATAGACTTCAACAGTCCATCCTTTTTCTAGTGCTTTCATGGCACATCCAGGGAAACTAGTGTCACATTCTGATTTGCCCTTCATTCCATCTCCTGTAGCCAGTACCAATACACCAGGAGGGAGCTCACACAAGGCCTGTGGTTCATAAAAAAACATCAAGTTACATCTTTGTTCGTAACTAGTCAGTAACCGTGTATGCATGTTGAGAAAGCTTGTCAAAAAATCTGGCCATGACTAAAGTGATCACCATTCAGTCTCAAGGGGTTGGGGCTACTCCACTTGTAGTGAATGTTTATAATGGTGTTTGCCATCCAGCTGGCATCAGGATTTTGGAACTACTGATCTAGAACATCTTTGAGACATTGCCATGGATGGGGCATATTGATTTGAAATGCACATTAGTTTCCGTAAGGAAGATTTATAGTAAAATTTTTGTCACCTTATAAATCCAAAGGTGAAGGCTTTCATCTACTCTTTGCTCATCCTTCCCTCTTCTCTCTTCCAGATCAACAATGTATCCCAAGCGTCTGATCATAAAATGCAAACAAATATTAATTATATTATGCTAAGAAAGATGAAACAATAGATGGCTGGAACCACCATCTTTCTTCATAATTTATGTGAAATAGGCACTCACAGTCATGTCATCTGAAGTGACTATTTGAGGTTAAACAGTATCATTGTCACTTGTTTACAGTAGTATGAGTCCTATTTAATTGATAACTGAAGTCTGCCCTGACCCACCTGTAAACTTCCCACACATGTTCTGTTGCTGGAGGACTAGAGCCACCTGCAAACCCTCTGGTCTTTGTTCTTTCCTTTTCAAGAATCCTAACCAAATTTTGCAACTTAACCCGCACATGTCGCTTGCGGTCTCCTGTGTTGACCATACTGGCACATTCCTGAGCACCAATATAAATATTGCTGTTGTCAATGGCAACCACCATTCCAAATAAGGAGTGTGTTTTAGAGTCTTTTGGTACTTCCTTATCAGAATTATGAGCCTCAGATGTTGATGTAGAGGGTGGAGCACCTTCGTTAGAGGCATCTAAACATTCTAAAGTTTGTTCTTTGTATGTGTGAAGTGCAGGTGTTGTCAGAGTGTTATCTGATAATGGACAGTATGTTAAGCTTGTTGTTCTATCACGGAATTGGACGTGATCCTTGTCTATGCCATTCTGTAATTCTTGCTTGTTCACGCTTCTGTTGAAGTCATTTAAAGGGGATGATTCTTCTTCCAGTTTTCCAATCTGGGTATATTCTTCACAAGTTGCATCCAGTTGTTCTCTGGACACATGAAATGACTGTTGTTCTTTAGGGGGGAGCCTGTCACTTTCACAAGTTGAATTGATTGAATAGAAACTAGGTAAAATCAAGTCTGTAATCACCAGACAGTTTTGTTGCCTGGCATTTTCTTCGTTGGGTGGTATTTCCAGGTAATGCGACTCCACACTGTCCACATTAGAAGCTTTTGCCAGATGAGAAGTGCTCTCCAAACTGCACCAAAGATGATTGCCAGGTGGCTGATGTTTCAGAATTGCATCATATTCATCTTTGGTTGCTTCTGTCTGAAACTGCGGCAGTTCAAAGGCTGATTCCCCAGACAGGTCTACCGATTGCAGATACCTTATGTAAACGAAAATAAAACATCAAACTTGCTATAACTGTGAGTCAAATATAGTTTGTCAAGTTTTTATTTATTTGTTATTGTTTATTGTATCCTCCCCTCTTTTGGAGTTTCAACATGGCGCTTACAGAAGCAAAAACATTTGCACACCCAAAGAAAACGCCTGTACTGCAGGCTCTTAATTAATTAATATTGCAAGTTTTGATACACAGGTAATTCTAATCATAGTGGCATCTTTGGTTGAGGGTGCTAATGGGGGTATCATATAATTTGTTGCTTGCTTGTTTGGTTTCTTTGTCTTTACAGTCCTTACACTTGTTAAATAGAGTATGTAACAAAGAATTACCTCCATATAAGAACAAATGAAATGGCCAACACTCCTGCTATCATTCCAAGTATGAACGTGTATGTAGGTACAACAATGACCTTGAATATTGTCACACCAGACTGAATCACTGTAGTGGTGTTGTCTCCTGAAATTATAAATTAATAATATTATCTTTATTCATTAATACCAATATCACAGATCTTGTCTAAAGCAGGCTTTGAGAATGAATGCAGCACATACCTTATTGAACTTTTACAACCTCTTAAAGGGGATTGTACAGACTCGAAAATAAGAAAATGGTGAACTCTTAACTTACCGTCTCTCAAAGTCATCACAAGAGCAGGTCTTGAGAAAGGAGAACAAGCTCCAGGGGATACCCCACATGCCCTCAATTTGACTTCGTACCCTGACCAGGGTTTCAGACGCTTGGCAATGTACATGACATCCACTCCCGAATACTCCAGCTCAGTGTCTATGAACAGTTCATAGTGATCAATCTCTACTTTGTTGGAGTGCACTCGGCACCATGTGATCCGTATCTCTGTTGAGCTGATAGCTGTGACATTTGGTACAACTGGTCTTTCTGGAGACTTGACCCCTACAGTCGTGCAGATCACAGTATAAGACAATGTCTTGAAATAAAGGATTTCTTAAGTATCCACTTAGTGTGGCACTAGTTGGAGGTACAGATAGAGAGTGATGAAACAACAAAACATACACTAAACAGCAGGACTGAGTTGTTCAAAGCTGGGTTAAGATAACCCAGGGTTTGTACGAAATTTGAATTCAGATATGAAAGCTTAAAAAGTAAATTCAGTTTAATTCTTTTTGTCAGCAAGTTGATAATTGGATGCTCTTAAAAATAACAGAGAAAATTATCTGAGAAAATGCTTTTGACCAAAAGAAAAAGAAACCCAGGTTAAATCTAACCCTTGGTTAAGTGCTAATCGGCCTTTGAACAACTGGGCCCAGGAACATATCACAATCTTTTACCAGCCTTATTCCCATTTCATTCCTCTCCCATCCTCTAGTGTGCGAGAGAGGATAGACAGCAGAGATACACTGGGAACGAGGTTGACTTTTTTTTGCATAAATATTACATAACCCACACATGGTCGTTTGAGCAAGACAAGTTGGTAAACCTGTGCTAAAACGACTTGAGCCCTCCTTGAATGTGACTATTTTTGGGTCAAGAAATGGAAAGTAACGCAACAACACTGACACAGACAAAAACCCGTGCCAAGTCAGGGCAAAGATCGGTTGAAACGAACAACATTTTCAAGATTATCTGATGAAATTTTTGGTTAAGTTAAAACGCAAATTTTCTTGAGGAGCAGTTTAATCTGATGAGATCAATCTTTTATCAGAGAATTCGATTCCTCTTTTTTATTGTCTAACTCAGTCCATTGTTTGATAGAGGAATCTCGGAATCTCTTCCGGGGGAAAAGCCGTTTAACAGCGCGTGACATTAATATTTTTTGTGGGTTTAAAGAAGTAGAAAACTGTATGAGGAAAGGTTACATGTAATTTACCTTAAACCGAATCGGAAAATTCACTTAGCTATGATATCACTTTGAACTGGTAAAAGCTTTGAAGTCTAGAAGACGATGTTGGGAAGATACCCGCTGAAATGTCCTGAGTCTAATACCCCAATTTTCGTCTGTGATTATTAAATCATTTTTACCAGACTATTGGCGGCGTGTGCTTAAAATGTGCTCAAAAATGAATAGCTAAGTCAAAACAATATGTGTTCTTCTCACCTGCAGTATAATCTACTTCTGATAGTAGAAAGACGAAAATAAAAGCCAATACAATCATGTCCGACCAGACGTGCGATAACTCCCCTATACACACACCTCAGAGAAGTCCGTGGTTTAAAATAACGCCTTGCTTTATGCTATAAGCACTTTAAACGTTTGTCCTCGTCCATAGAGTTCAAAGTCAGAACAAGCATAATCGAAATGTTTGTTTCCAGCAACACAGAATTAATAGTTTTATACGTGATGGTCGCATGATATCGCTATGACATATTTGTTTGGTAGAGTATTGACTATTTGCGTACCCCAGGGGTGGTTCGTAAGGTCTCCTGATCTTTGCCAGCCAATAGTATTCTTCGAAGCGAGACAGTCGTTCCTCGGTTTCGGGTATCACTCGAAGATTGAAAAAAAAGACAAAAAAATAATTGCCACAAATAAACAAATATTAATTATTTTTGGGAAGCTTGACAGATTTCCGTTCATGGTAAAGATCTATAAATCTCCAAAGTTTCCGTTGCTTGTGTAAAAGGAACCTTTTTCAAAGCACATCACATTGAAAAACTTAAGCAACTCAAGCAAGTGAAAATAATTTTCCCCGGAATTTTCCACAGGAAGCTGGTAAAAAAAAAAAAACAAAAAACAAAAAACCACACACAAGACCGAATATAAAATAACGCAACAATCATTTTTTGAAAACCACTTTTGAAAGAAACTAATAAATATGCAGATACCAATGCAATGCTGAACAATGGTCAACCGTTCCTTAGTTTTTCAAATTCGAGTGGCCTATCGTTTTCCGCTCAGGTGTGCGTTTTTCAAAACTGTCAATTTTTCTCACCTATTTTTGAACGATCCTACAGAGATTTTGTACAAAGTGGGCCAACATCATACCTCTCGATATTGTAACGCTTTTTAATTTTCCATGAGAGATTTATGAAAAATCGCATTTCTGCTACAAGTGATACTTGTGCACTATAGAAGTAGGTTTTTTTTTTTTGGGGGGGCGGATCAGGCCCAATTTTAGCAGCTTCCATGCATTCTCTCTTACGTAGTCGCTTACTTCGCGTCGTTTTTACTCCCTCAATAACGTGAGACTTGAGTTTCATTACTGAGGGAGTACTATCGACTCGAAGTAATCGTCTGTAATTCAGGCTAATTTGGTATTTATTTGCTCTCTTAAATATAGAAACCAGATGGCTTCACGTTTTATTTCGGACTTGCTATCACCCTCCAGGTCTTTTGGGAGGTTAAGTTTACTCAAGGTTTATAAGGCTCGCTGATCTGTTTTTATTTCAAGAAGTGTTTTCATAGTACAAGTTTTGAAATGTGTTCAAAGTTAACACCATGTTATGATTTGACGGATGAGGAGGGTCGAGGGAGGAATGTCAAGAACATTATATTCGTTTGGAAAGAATTATGTTCAAAGTACACATGATCAGGTCGAGATCTCAGAACTTTGATTTTGTTGAACAGAGACGGGAAAGCTATCATCAAGTTTAATATTCAAGATTGGGTTTCCTTTGGCCACTTGCTGAACACTGTATGACGTAACTATTGATGTAATCTGTCGCAAACTCTTTCAGGACCACGAGCTCACAACGGCAACGTACTTAGAAATAAATAATTCAGTAGTTTATTAATTACTTTGAAATCGTTCCCAGTTGTTTATTTTTTAGTCTTATTTACTTTACCGTAATGCACTAACAAATGGACTTTACACTTTCACAGTTAAAGCTTTGTGATAAGAGTTAGCTGTATTATCTTTAAACTTTGAGGTCTGCAAATGTCAAACTAAAGCTCCGTTTTACACTGTTTCCGTTTTACCGTTTACGACAAAAATAACAAAGTGTGGCTTCTTCCAATTTGGTCACGCGAGGGATGAAGGACACAGGCAACCCAAGCTCACTGTGACAGTAGTGAATAAGTAATTAACAGTTGTAGAGTAATGACAAGGGAAACATTTGACGCAGGACTCGTGTCATTTCAGGACTAAGCTTACGGGCTTCCTTGAAAGCAATATATATTTGCTAGAGTGAGAGAGTGGTTGAGAAAATGACCCACCAGATGAGGATAAGCACGAGCGAGCCTAGCCTGTGAACAAGCTCTCATATTTGGGCGAGAGAAGCGAGCCGCGCGAGCGAGCAGCGAAGCCGCCCCCGCTTGCTTTCGCGTCTTCTCTCGCGTGTCTACTTTTCACGATATTCTCCAGATAAAGAGCTTGCTCGCAGGACGGGTCACCCCTTTCCCTCTTATTTTTTGCGCTTTGCTCAGACCACCGAGATCTAAGCACACGTTTTATTTCCTATGCTTTGTACGAAATATGTCTAGAAATAGGTCAATAGCCAGCTACAGGTAACGAACATGCACAGCTTTGACGGCAGAACCTCGGAACATGTCCTCCTCCTCCTCCTTATCATCATCGTCGTCGTCATTATCAGCGTCACAAAGCATCATCACCGTCACTATCGTCATCATCATCATTCTCATTCTCATCGTCATCATCATTATTATCACAATCATAACCATCATCATCATCATCAACAACCTCTTCGTCATCCTTTAGCGTTCGCCGCAATGCTTGGCACCACTGTCTCCAACACCGTGCGCTCCTGCATGGCAGACATGAGATAACTATCTTTCACCATCACATAAGTGAGTGATATCTGGCTCGACAGTAAATAATGTAGCCAAATCTCGACTGCCGTCTCAGTCTGAAACAAATTAAGCAAAAAAGTCAGGTAATTGTATGATGAAATGCTTTGTCTATCTTTTCCACTTGTTCTTCCTTTTTTTACAGCACAGTATTTCAAGGGAATGTTCAGAGGCTGTCAGAGTTGAAGATGTCTTCAGTTAATAACTGATCTGACGGCAATTCCTATCAAATATTATAATGACTCATCATTTCAGCCCCCGACATTCTAGGCCTCTTTGTGTCGAAAGAGGCTGGGGAAAGGAAAAAAGCGCGCTGAGGAGGATGGGAAGGGGAAAGAGAGGAAGCAAGGTAGGCATGCCCCGCGCGCTTGCTATTTTTATTGGGATATATATACCGGGACACCTAGCGGGAACCTCTGAGAGCATTCTAACTACTTAAATTACAACAACGACGTCTTCTCAGTCATGTTGCCCTAAGTGTCTGAAAAAATAACAAAAATAACCAAAAACCAAAAAAAATTAACAAACCAACAAACAACTAAAACAAAATCACTGCCCTCAGCGAACATTTTCTTACCTTAGACATAAGTAGACATATTTGACGTCATCACTACAACGTAGCCTTAACAAGAGTGAGGTAATGCACCAAGAGGGATCTGCAGTTTTGAAGAACAAAAAGGAGTAGCTAATATTAGAAACTGGACAGAGGTGTAGACATATCCACTGAAACGTTTAAAGGAACGACCCAAAACAGTGTGAAATATTTGTAGAGGCAAACAGCCCAATCTCCAAGTTGACAGCCGTGAAATCACGTGCATGTACCCTATTACACAGCTTATTTTAAACGAAGGTTTTATTACAGGCTGTCAGAGTTGAGGATGTCTTCAGTTAATAACTGATCTGACGGCAATTCCTATCAAATATCATAATGACTCATCATTTCAGCCTCTGAGAACTACTGGTAAACGCACAAAAGTCACAAGAAAGTTTGGTGTTTAAATAAATCGTACTCTTACCTTAAGACCAAGTTTTGCCTTGCTTGCCATCCTTATCCGATCCTGACTAAAAAATAACAAAACAGTGGTCTGAGGATTAGCTCGAATTTCATTCACAAAACTGGACTCAAAGTCAAGAAAGTGATTACATACCGTGTTAGCGAAAGACTCGCGCAAGACGTAAATTAAAGAAATGCTGGTATCTGTAAAGGCCGGTCAGTAATGATGGTAATAAGGTGTTTGGGTTAATTAGTAATTCTGAAGGTCAGAAGGGGGAGGGGTGGGTGCACTGGTAGGGCGTTCCAAGACTCTATAAAGAGTTTCAATGGCAACAGCGTGCTTCATCTCCTTTTTTACTTGCATAGTTTCACCTTTGACCTACTTCCTACTTCGTGTTCGGTTTCACTGTGAAAAAAGGTCTCTGATTTGGTTCTAACGTCCCAGGTTGATTCCCTTTCACTAATGCTCTCCCCCTCCCACACACACACTATCTCCATCATTGGTGCTCTTTCGTGCCTTTTGATGTCTCCTTCCCATTTGATCCGTCTCCCCTCATCACTTTTATATCACGACTATTCAAGTAATAGATAAGAAAATAGAACACAATTCATTTGCTGTGAAATATCTGGGGAATGCTGACTGGTAGTGGATCTCCTTTTCTCTTAAGGTGAAAAAGCTGCACAACAAGCAAAAAAGAGCCAACATTAAAACCAATATAACAACTATTTTATTCTGTAAAACGTAATTACAGTGAGTGGTGTGTCTGCATTCGCATGAATTTATACATTTAACTTTCCTCCTCAGATTCAACATCATCCTCATCGTAATCATCACCATCATTGTCATTTCCTGCTTCAGTCTCCTCCTCACTTTCTTCTTTGGATTCTGATTCTGAGGCGTCTTCGTCATCAAGATCTTCTTCCCAATTTTCCTACAAAAGAGAAACAGTTTCAACGTTATTAAAACGAACCTGATGTTGTTATCGTCTTCTTTGCCTAGAAAAGGGACGTTCAGATGCGATGACGAAGAGGGCGACGAGAACGTCAAAAAAGTTATAGGTTTTATCAGCAAAACAACAACTTTGTACGTGCAGCACACTTTTCGTACTTTCTTTGTCGTCGATACACGACTACGACGTGACATTCCCTCATGCGACGTCTTAAGGAGGACGTAAACACACCATGACAGATTTCTCTTTCTCCCTCTAAACTTGGGTGCAGATAGCCTGCGTGGCAGGCGTTCGAAAGGGAAGGGAAAGAGAATTAGGGTGCGAGACCACGCGCGAGGGAGGAGGGAGGAGGGGAACGCGTTCCTTTACTTTCTCCCTCGCGCGCCCAAATTCCCCCTTCCCCGATCCCCTTCCCCTTCCCCTTTTAACGCCTGCCACGCGGGCTAGGGTGTAGACAGCAGTCCCTAAGAATGCAAATCCAGGGGAAGTCACCTACATTTGAGATTTTACGCGAGTCGGAGTAATCGCGACCGAGTTCGAAAAAAGCGAAGTCTTTTAAATAGTGACGTTCTCGCCGCTGTCGCCGTCGTCATTGCTAAAGCTCCCTAGCAACTGCACGCGACAGCTACTATAAAACTATAATTATTATCCGGTCTTCCCGGTGTCATAGTTACAGGAAATAAGTAAGAACATACATCGGATTCCGAGTCTTCGGCCTCAATAGGTACAAGTGGTTCCTCATCAGAGTCTATAAGGATAGAGAAATAAAAATGGCAAAAAAGATATGTGTTACAATGCCTTAACACAGCAGAAACAGTTAATATCATAATGGAAAATACACCTGGTTTGCTACACAGTTATAATATTATCTGTTTTAGAAGGAAAAAGCGTTTTACTGCGTTTTCTGCAATGCATTAGTGTAAGACTGTGGAAAGCTGCTCACCGACCTTCCCTAACCCAGCATTAACAATTACTTCTCACTTACAGCAAAATGTTAGATTAGGGGAGGGGTAGGTGGGTGGCCTCCTTGAAATTTATAGTGGGCACACTCTTTTGTGTTAATGACTGTAGATATTTTTATTGTGAGGGCCTTGTTGGGTTAATTTTTGCTGGGTATGTGCCGCTGGCCTATCAAAACCTCTACCCCACAATTATAGACCCCATCTTAGTCACTTTTGGCCAAATGTAATTTGTAATTTCGGTATCCCAACTTAGTCACTACCACCCTCAAACGAATTGAAACATTTGTTAAACTAAGGGCAGTAAAAATCTTCCCAATTTAAATCCCTGCCAACCTGAATTTTTTAACCCCCAAATCCTGAAAATGTGCGACCTCACTCTAGTAACTCTATTGACAATGCAACCCCATTATAGTCAGTCCAGTCATGAAAATGTGACCCCATCAAGCGGCACATCCCCATTAGCGTATTGTTAGGACGTACCCCCCTCCCCTCCAACTCCTGGGATGTTGAGTGACCTACTAGACCTGTGGTTAACAGAAAAGTACCTAGGATATCATATAGACAAGAGCTAATGAAGATAAATGAGGCCTTCGGGCTGAAAAAATATTATCACTATTACAGACCTTCCTCTTGATAGACAAATGATGGCCCAGGAATTGTATCATCTGCAGTGTTATAGCTCTGGGAATCCACCTACAAACAAAAAAATAAAAAAAAAACGTTGGACCAATAGAAACAGAAAATCTTAATATAAATAGGCACAAAGCTCATTTCCAAGAGACTGTCAGAGTTGAAGGTGTCTTCAGCTAATAACTGATCTGACGGCAATTCCTATCAAATATTGTAATGACTCATCACACAATCTTTGGAAACAAGCACACGGAGGAAAGTGGTGCAGAAATATTAAGGGGATAACTCCTTATGCTGCACTTTAATCAATTTTAAAGGATTTAAGAAACCCCACCCACACTACCATATGCAAAATAACGCAACATGGACCAACAGTTATTGGCGCAAAGTTGAAGTGGTGCCCCCCCACCAGGTAAGGTTAAGCTAATTTTTATTTATAGAGCAACGAAAAGGGAACAACTGTGTTCAAACCTCCTATGTAAGACTGTGACACATTCAGTACAAAAAAAAATTCGATCAATTTAGGTTTCTAAGAAACTGCCCACCTACCCCTCCCCTAAGCCAACATTTTGCCCTAAGTAAGAGGTAACTGTTATGTTTAGCTTAGGGGATGGGTAGGTGGGCAGTTTCCACTAACCTAAATTGATCCCAAAAATTCTTATAGTATGAGCCTTGGCACAGGAAGATGAACTGGAGAGTTAACCCTTTAAGTGCCAATAGTGGCCAAGACCAATTTTCTCCTAACAATATCCATACACTGTCAACAGATAAGTCCTGAGAATTAATAAAATGATCACCGAAGTAAAAATGCCTTGATCTTTTATCAAATTCTCTCAACTACTTCTTTAAGGAAATGTATGGAGATCAGTTTGGAGAATTTGTATGTGGCTACTGGGGCTTAAAGGGTTGAAGCCATACCTGCGACAGCATCAAATCCAAACGACCTTGCAGTTTGCACAGTTTACCATAAGTGCTCACACGTGACTCCATCATGGCGTATAGTCCACCAAGGGTCTTCACGAGGTCTGGGACCTTAATAAAAAAAAAAGCAGAAAAAATATTACATTATTATTAACAGTCTAAGTGTATATGATATGGCTCATTTTCATCCTTGGTTGCAATTTTATGTTCCCACATCATCAATATAATGCACTCTTTGGCATCAAAGAGATAACATCTTACCGTCATTAAATAAGCCATATGAGTACTTAAAATTTGTTTGATCCATAGCACTAATTGTGCTCCTCTAGAACAAATAAAGAAAAAAGCTGGATAAGTACACTTGACCACCATAAGACAAGGCTTCTATGGTAAGTTCTGAAGATACACTAAACAGTGAAAGGATGGTTAGACTAATAGCCTGGAAACAGCCAACTTTTCATGGCAGCAGTACTGGTTTCACTGCCAAATGCCAAACTGGAACCAGTAGCTATAGTGGCAATGCAAAGTGTTGGCCGTTTTCTCAGGCAACTAAATTTAAATTTGAAAAATAAGATGGGTTGAAGGAAATTAAAACAGATGGGTTTAGACAGGCAACTAAATTATAAAAGATTTTTGTTTTCAGGGAAATTTCTCCTTTCACTTAAGGTGCAGTTTACAAAGTTAAGGAATGAGTAATGATGAGGCATATTGAAAAATGGAGACTCTCTTTCTGAAAAGTGTGTGGGTTCTTTAACCTCCCAAGGCATGGCTTCAATCTTGTGAACAAGCTGCAAAAATAAATAAAACACAAATAAATGAATCCATCAACTGAGCATGCTATTTAAAATGGAGACTCTAGCAATACTTACCTCCATTTTGTCTTCAATTTCTGCAAAAATAAACAAGAAACAAACAAAAAAGAACATAGGGGAACATAGGGGATCTGACAAAACAGTGAATAATAAAAAATATCCAACAAACCTCTGTCAAGAATGGAACGGTGAGTGTGACTGGAAGTCCTTTAATTGTATTTTTCATAACTGTTTCCTTTTTTCCCCCTTGCCATAAAACATCCTGGAATAACAAAGAACAGTTGACCAGCCATACATTATAAGAGGCCTTCTAGAATAGTCGGTGATTCATTTACCTTGAATAAGCATCCAGTGTCTTGTCAAAAGGGGTGGGGGGGGGGGGGGGGGCACTTATTTAATAAACGGCTCTTGATCAGGAGAGGAGCAATCTCCATGTTCTCTCTTTAATAACGTGAAACTATCTTTTGGCTAGATCTTTATAATAGAACTCTGCCAGCATATGCAGATGAATGTAACTGGAACTGACTTGATGGCAAAAAACAGCTCCAGTAATATTGCTGGCGATTTTCACTTTTAAACAATTATAGAAGTGAGAAAAAAGAGAGAATTTTCCTGTGGTAACTTAAGTTACTGTTTAAGAAAGCAAGGAAGAAGAAGAGGGGTGCTTATGTGCTAGTTTGGCCAAGCAGGAAGGGTGATTTGTTGAGGAAGTGCACTTATTACAGTATGGGCCCTTAATGAAGGAGATTAACACATTCTTGCAGTGTATTATCATACTTACCTCCAGTAGATTGTTATCTTGACTATGAAGAGCCTGTATTAACATCTGCACTAATGAATCAGCTGTCGGGGGACCACTTGCTTTTCTTCTAAAAAGGATAGCATACATTATTTTGAGACTCAACTGAAGGAGTTTATAAGACTATTGCTAATTAAAAGATACTTTTGAGTTTTTTACAGGGACCATTACTAGGTTGGATGAACAAAGTTTAAAAGCATACAGACTCTCTCCATGTACTTTCAAGATGTGGCTTGTAAGCGCTAGTTTTGTACACAGTGGTAAAATTTGTCTTTTAACCATATATGATGTATCTACTTAGGTTAGGCAATTCTTGGCAGGGTCACTGCAACAGTGCATGGCACCAATATTACTGTGGGCCTGTAATAGTCCCTCCCCCCATGAGAGATAGACTACCACACCAGGGACTAAATCCCGGCCCTCCTCTTTACAAACAGTGTACACGGGTTCCTTAACGTCCCACAGAATTTATAGGTGCAAGGGTTGTGAGACAGGGCCTATACTTTATCAGCTTTATCCAAGAAGACTAGAAAGTCTAACCATTGGCAAATGTCATTACAAAGTCAAAGCCAGCACTTTCTCCTCAGTTATTTGAAGACCCACAACTTAGTCCCTACGCCAGGGGTATCAACTGGTGGCCTCTCACTTGGCAGACCAGCACTTATCCAACTGAGCTAATCGGACATCCGTTGTATTATGAACTGGTTTAATATTTTAAGACTCGGGCAATTTTTTAAGTTTACTTAGTTTCTCTTCAGTTGTCTTGGAAACTGCTCTAACTCAGCTGTGGTGTAAACATAACAAACAAAAAATCCCACAGAAATAAAACCCATGTAGACCAACTGGTGAAGAATAAAATAATAATGCTTATAACATCATTATGACGTGGTAGACTCCATACAGTACCTTTGTGTTTCAGCTGATGCTGTGTTTATTGCTTTTAACCTCTCCTCTATGCTCTGTAGGTAAATCACAACAATGACTTTGTTACTTAAATCCTTTACTTCCCAATAGTGACCAAAATCAATTTTCTCCCAACAATATCAACAAATTATCAAGAGAAAAGGTTATGAGAATTGAATAAAAGGAAACGTATGGAAACTGGTCAGGTCTGGTCTGAAAAATGATGAAGTGGCATGCATGGGAGAAAAAATAGTTTCTCATTTCAAAAGACTCATCAACAGATGAGGATGAAAAGAACTATTGCCACCAACATTGCTGCTGATAATAATAACCACAAAGGATAAATAAAGCCTGAGTTGAAAGTTATAAGTGGTAATTTTAATCCACTTAACTTGCCTGTTCTTCTGGTCTCACTCTTTCTTCACTTCTTTTTTTATCCTTTCCTTTTGTTCCTTTTGTTTGTCCCTCTTCAGCAGCAACTGAAGGTGTCGCTAATGCCATATTACCTGCTCCAAGAGTTGTCACTGCTTGCCGTGAATTCTGACCTTTGGTCACTTGAAGTGATTCCTGAGTTCCATTATTGAGAAGTAGGTTTGATGAGTTTTCACGTATAAGACAAGTGTGCTCTTCCATTGTTGAATAGGCCTACAAGGGAAAAATGTTATTAATATTAAACTATTATCTGATTAGTATATCAGTTAAAGCTATTACAGAATAATCGCTCTTTTTATTTTTTTAATTTTTCATAAGCTTTATTTAAAGAGGGTAAAACACTTAACAGTAGTCCTAAGACACTGATGACTCTGTGGCCCTCTTTATACTTTTACACATAAAGCTGCTACTTTTTGAGTCTGAAAATTTTAAAATCAAAGTGTTAAATACTTTTGGAGACCATCAGTACAGATTTCATGACAATGCTAATAGCTATTGCTTCTAATGGTCAATTATCAATAAGCAATGACACAAGTTGCTGCTTAGAGGACTATCATTAATGTTCATGTAATTCTTGTTGGAGTCATTTCTTATGTAACTCTTGTTGGCAAGGTTGTCAGAAAGTGCCGAAGTATGCCCCTTTCTTAAAGCAGGTGGCTAATTTAGCCATCTTTTATGAAAAAATCAGAGAGAAGCCAAGCAAAGACATGGAGTAGGTGTTGATTTTTGAACGTTGCCAGCTTTTTTTGACAACCCCAGCTATTCCTTTGCCCAGGCAACTTCTTGCTTTTCTTAGTTAATGATTTTGTTCAAGGATGACTTGTCTGGATGCCCATTGGGGAATTGAGCTCTAAAAGTTACTTGCCCAGAGAGGAAAGTCTACCATAAAGGACTTCTTTTGAGCCCTGTTTGGTTTAGTTGGATTAGTATGTTCAGTTCTTACCAAAGTTTCAAACTGTGGTTTTACAGTCGAACCAAATGCAACTTGCACTGAAGGCTCTGCTTCAGCTAGCAATCGGATACACATCACAGGTATGGGTGATGGTGTTCCATCCTACCAAACAAAAACAATGTAACGATAAGCATAATATAAAATAAAACTCTAATTTGACTGAAAATCCAATTCAGTTCGTACCTTTTGATTGCAACTGTTAACAGGTATTAAAAAGGCTAAGGTAATTTGAGTATCAAGGCAGTCACTTACGATTTCAAGTTCCTGGGTAAATGCCATTACAGGAAGTGGTAAGCAGGGGGTTTGGCAAGTGAACAGCTAGGAAATTCATTTGGTTCTATTACCCATTCATTTCCAATGAAAGTGATTGGGGTCATGCTCATAGTAGTGGGAGGAAATCCCAGGCCTCCTTAGTCCCAAGAGTGACCAAAGTCAATTTTCTCTCAACAGCATAAATACATATCAAGAGAAAATGTTGTGAGAATTAATGAAATGATCACCTGATGGGAAAGGCTTTGATCTACAAACAAATTCTCGTAACCAATTCTTTAAGGAAATGTATGGAGCTTAGTCCAGAGAATTTGTATTTGGATATTGGGGCTTAAAGGGTTAAGTGACAGTGGTAAGTACACAAAATTAATGTCACCATTGACAGCATGTTTTTTGGCCAGCACTTGGTGGCTGAAAGATTTTGTAAGCGCTTTTTGCAGAGTAGCAGAGTGGTCAGTGCATTGGATTCGCAATCAGGTGCTCCTGGGTTTGAATCCCGTTCTGGCCACTTGCTGGATTTGTTCTCGGTTGTCCCAAGTTCAAATCCTCTGCCATGCTTGTAAACTGCCAACTGGTTGCCTCCAGCCAGTTGGGGTTTTTAATCCTGTTACCTTGTATTTGTATATTTTGTTTCTAAGTATTTAAATGGCGTGCCTCAGTGTTAAATAGCTGAATTAAGCTAAGTGCACTTTCCACTATAAATAAACCTTTATGGAACCCTGTCTCATCAATCATGTCTAAGAACTGAAGATGCTGAGCATGGGTTCAACGAAAATAAATAACATTAAGAAATGAATTACTTTTTTTAAATACCTTTTTCTCAGAACTGGTTAGCTGAATAGTTCTCGTTGGTCTTAGGGGCTTTTTAACACCCCTAAAATTGAAAGAGAAAGACATATGTTAAAAGGTCTCCTCAATGATAAGACAGGTTAAGGAGGAGCTGAATTTATGAAAAAAAAATAATTAAGAAACAGTTCACAGATCAGACTTCTCTAAGTGCCAGGGAATTACTGGACAAAGGTTTAGTTCTTTTCTCACCAAAATGCAATGAAGCATTTTGTCAAGAGTGTGGCTCTACCAGCCACTGCCATGAAAACCGTAGGAAGGATATATAAGCAACTCACCCATTTAGTGAATATTCGAAAATATGTATTTGTCCATCTTTTGAGACTACAGCAATGTGAACAGGCTGAAAAAAAAACCACACTGTATTTTATGTTTGTTATACAGAGACGTGTTCCAGTATCACCCAGAGGCCTATGGTGTCTTACTGTTGGCATTAGGCTACAAGGAAATCTTATCTTTTGCATGAAACTTATACGGTACACTCCTTGGAATCATGGATTTAGAGCTTGAGGGTCCATACACTGTACAGTTTTTCTTAGTCAACTTTTTATAATGCTGATCAATTTCACATAAATGATATTTCATGCTATAGAGCGGTTTTCACTTGACTGTCGTAAAACCAAAACCAAAGTAAATACACTAGCCAACCAAAGGGCGTAGTAAAACCAAAATCAAAACCAAAACCAATCCCTTTAGACAGTCAAGTGAAAACCGCTCTATCAAAACTCTCTGATTTCTTCACCCTATCCCAAACTAGCCTGCTTAAAATCCCCTCCCCTTCACAGCGGCACATACATGTACCTATATAGCCCATACATTGCGGTTCCCCTTGCCCCTTATGGAGATCAACCACACCAACATTTGTGCAGCCTTATTATACCACACTTACAAGAAGATACTTTTTTTACCTTGTCTTGATTGCTGTGACGTATAACATCAACTACAATGGGTTCGTCTGTGAGAGAAAGTGAAACTAACGCATTTTTGTTATGAGCTTCCAAGCTAACATACCTGCAACAAAATACAAATTTTACTTAGTGATTATTATTTAAATAATAATACTTTACTGAATTTTATGCCAGACTATCAAGATTCACATTAAAACTACTGAATTATTATCACGATCATTCATAATAATTTGACCTTCAGCTGTTCAAAATGGAGTACAAATAGTATGAATTGCTTTTAAAAAACTTACCAGACATTCACAAGTCTGTCCTGTTCTGCTCCGGAAATGAAATAATTACCACTGATTCCATTACTAGGAACGTGGTTGGCGTTTGTGTCATGTGACAAGGAACTTGGTATAAATGAGAGATACGTCACTGGCGTTGCGTGACCTGTAAATTTCTTCAGACAGGAAAGAAATAAAAGACACTTTCAGTCTTGCCTAATTTAGTTTGTTAAAATAAAACTTTTGGGCACAAAATTTAAAGGATACAGTTGACTGATTTGTTTCTTGTCTACTATGACCACAGTCAGATAAACTAGTTTCTGGCCCCTATCAGTTATATAAAACTTGGTGTCCAGCCTTTATCTTATTATTGAATTCTCTTCCCTAATGAGTGCGACTTATTCTCCCCCAAGAACTGGCAAAGAACATTGCGACTTCAAATGCATTAATCCACTATTATGCATTTGATTGTATCAGCCATAAAATCCCCTTTACAGGTGTGGACAACATAGGTAAAAAATTAGAGCTTTTAAACTCAGGGTGCTGATTATTGGTGAATACCACATTCTTTGCCCAAGAGTCATTGCCATCATCTCATTAATATTGCACTTCAGCCTTGTCATTCATTTTATATTTCTTACCCTTAGATTTTCTTTTGTCTCTAAATCCCATAATTTAATGCTTCTGCCAGCAGAGAGCAGTGTATCTCCCTTGGGACCAAGTTCAATGCATCTCACTCCATGTTTGTCAGCTTTCCACTTACTACAGAAGACAAAACACAAGTTCATAAACAAGTTTGTGATTAATTTTAGAGAAGGGGCATCACCACCAAGGCCAACGTATTTTGCAGACACAAAATAAGGCCCTGCCAGCTCCCCTGAGCAAAATTCCTACACTCTTTCCAAGACTTGACTTTACTAACACTGTAGCCAGGTTACATTTGCTGACCAGCGACTGCTCAAAGGTGTCCAGTTTTTTTCCCCAAGAAATCATTTCAGGGATGAGAACTGGCCCACTTCCTGAACAGTGGCTAGTAACACTGAAACGAAAAGCAACCTAAAAAATGAAGCATAAATAAATAAGGAAGGCATCAAAGGTACACATGAACTCAAGAGAGGGACTTATTAGTGCAGCGAGCTCAGACCCTTAAAATAAAATATTATGATAATAGGCATCTTACCATTTTCTCTGGCCATTTTCTGTGTTCCATTCTATTATATGTTTATCATTTGAACAAGAATATAATGTGCTGTCATCTTCACTCCAACACACATCATTTACTCTGTTGTCATGACCACCTTCCTGAAAAATGATAAAAAAAAATGTTGACTTACAACGTATACACAGATCTGCACACATGTATACTAACATCTTTCACACCGAAAAAACTTATTTAAATCTTCATCTTTCAATAGAAACATGTCACTACAGTGCTCTTGCTGCAACAAAGATCTTCTTGCAACAATAAAAGGTATCCACATGTCGGGGGTACAATATGTATCAGAGGCCAGACAGTAACAAAAATACTGTCATTATTAAATGTCTGAATTTCATTTAACTAAGATATTTCATATAATCTTATTAAGACAGAGATAGCATCTCATAGAAATACCGGCATTTATTAAGGAGATAAGAATTACTGTCCTTGAAATTAGATGTACTTGGAGAAAATCAGTAAAAATACTTGACCATCTCAAAAATTGTGCCAAGACTGGATCTGTAAACTTGTCCTTTCAAAAGGGTACATGCCTGCTCATCTCACCTCTGCCATTGTTAGTTATAAAATCACCCCCTTTCTTCATCCCTTTTAGTTCGACCCTCATCATTAACCAGTATAGTGGAACAAACGACATACCACAGCAACCGGAATTAAAGGGGTGCAATCTGTTGGTCACACTCTGTTTTGCCTCCACAAGATTTTGCAAATTTTGAGGCAAAAATGGAATGGACACAAGAAAAAAAAAAGATTCTTACTAGTCTCTGATTCACTTCTCCGGCAGCAATGTTATATACAAAAATATCCCCTGATGATGTTCCAAGAGCTATGGAATCAACAACTGAATCTGTTGTATTTTTTGCAGTCTTTTGCTTCTTCCTTCTTTGAACAACCTAACAAATAACAAAAATGCTTTATTTTAGGAACTTTCTGCAGTAAACCTCTGCTGGTAATGGATCCACCACTGGCATACATTCTACCAAGTATCTGGTCATTTCATTCCACGGTCACTTTGTTCCAAGTCATATTGTCCCATGACATTGCCACATGGGGGTCTTTTTTATGGAACTTTACAGTGCATCTTTTTATTGACCATTATTTGAAAAAGTTCATTATTGAGATTGCGCTGTCTATGCATACAGTCTGACTAATGTTTGAACACCATTTTTGTTCTCTCAGACAAATCTCACATAATTTTCATCACCTACATGTTTCTTGGTGACATGGGCCACGATATCAAGGAAATATCCTTTCAATGAAGAGTTACCAATCAAAACTATAGGGTCAAGGGTTTTACAGAGCTCTTACAGTAGAATACTGTAAACGATAATTCTCTCTTTCGCAGATATTCTTAACGTTACGTTACATTTACATTAAGGCATTTCCAATAAACTTAATAACACATCTTTTTACGATTAGATGTAAAAATGATGGTAATTAAACTTAACTAATAAAATGACAAACTCCTAACAATTTATATAATGCTTGTCATCGGCAACTTTTTTAGCATTAACCGTACAGATAAAAACAGAGAAAGGGATTGCGCTTTTTTAGCGTGTAATAAACACTGCGTGACTTGATTGTAAATTTGCTGAAATTTGCATGCATACGTATACAGGACACCTGAAGACAACGTAGAAATCTTTTAAATA